CACACACACACACACACACACACCCCATAGTGAAAATTGGTTTTTGGAGCCCATAGAACTTTCCTTTCTGCCTGCCTGCCTGTCTTCTTGTCTTCCTTTCTGCCTGCCTTCTTCTCTCCCTTCCTCCTTTCTTCCCTCTTTCCCTCCCTTGGATTTTCTCTTTTTCTTTTTGCTTCATGGACTATTACTTTTAAATGATTGAATCATTTTTAAAAAAAATTTTTGCCAGTCTTGGGGCTTGAACTCTGGGCCTGGGCGCTGTCTCTGAGCTTTTCAGTTCAAGGCTAGCACTCTACCACTTGAGCCACAGCACCACTTCTGGTTTTCTGGTGGTTTATTGGAGATAAGAGTCTCTTGGGCTTTCCTGCCTGGGCTGGCTTTGAATCATGATCCTCAGATCTCTGCGTCCTGAGTAGCTAGGATTACAGGCTTTAGCCACTGGCACCCAGCAAGTAAATCCTTTTTATCAGCCTTTACTCTGATGCTCAGATTGTCTGAGGTTGGTCCTTGAGAGCCCTTCAAGAAGACTTCTGTGCCTTTTATTTGACATATGCACATCATGTTTGAAGCACGTGGCTCTGTTCTGATTTTCGTCTCAGTTCTGCAGTTACATGGGTTCTGTGGGAGAGTGGGAAAGCTCATCCAGGAGGGCCCTGGTTGAGATGGCTCTGGCATCTGTACCTGAAATCCCTGCATATCCGTAGCCAAAGGAAAGGATAAGGCCAAGGGGATTCATGATACTGATATGTATAACTATGTTGTACAACTGCTAAAGAACAGGGTGGTATGTGGGAAGAGGCTATTCTGCTTGACATCTAGCTCTAGAGTAGACAGAACCCCCAAGCAACACAGGCACACAGAGGGTAGCTGACAAATGAGATAAAGCTAGGGCTGATGTGTAAAATTAAGCAGGTTGTACATTGTACAAAGGTGACTATATTCACACTGTATTAACAGATTTATTATTATTTTTTATTTTTTGTTGGCCATGGGGCCTGAACTCTGGGCCTGGGCACTGTCCCTCAGCTCTTCAGCTCAAGGCTAGTGCTCTACCACTTGAACCACAGAGCCACCGCCAGCTTTTTCTGTTTATGTGGTGCTGAGGAATTGAACCCAGGGCCTCATCCATGTAAGGCAAGCACTCTACCACTGAGCCACCTTCCCAGCCCTAACAGATTTATTTTAACATTTTTCTAGCATATGAACATAAAGTCTTATTATGATAAAGCAGTATATTATGGAAAATTTCTGATAGTTGCACGCAAGGGTGCTCCATGTCTGAGCAGGTTTTTTGCTATCAACCCATCCTGGGTAGCAAGGCAGGAGAGTGGTGTTAGGGGCCCTGGAGTCTTGGCTTCCATCCAGCTGTACCTCTCCCTTCCATGGCCTGTAGCGGTGGTGACATTGATTGAGGATGGGAAGAATGACTCTGTGCTGGCTGAACCCACATTGCAAAGCAGGCGGGGTCCAGGCTGTAAGGTACAACCACCTGACAACTACAACAGCCTGTACTTCACGTGTCTGGAGCTGTTCAAATTCACCATTGGCATGGGTGACCTGGAGTTCACTGAAAACTATGACTTCAAGGCTGTATTCATCATCCTGTTACTAGCATATGTGATTCTCACCTACATCCTCCTGCTCAACATGCTCATTGCCCTCATGGGAGAGACTGTCAACAAAATTGCACAGGAGAGCAAGAACATCTGGAAGCTTCAGGTGGGACAGCTGGTAGGGAACACAGCCCAGAGGGCTACCTGTACTGCTGCCTCACACAGCTGGGCACAGCTAGACCTAGGACTAGCATCCATAGAAGTCATGTGTGGCTGAGATTGGGCAATTCTGGAGTGAAGGACATGTGGAGTGTCCATCACAGATAAATTTGGTGCAGGGTGGCAATTGATACTAGTCACATGGGGCAAAGGATGCTGAGAGCTCCCTTTCTGAACCATGCAGTCTATATATACCTCCTGTTATTAAGCTTCTCTCATTTAATCCCCCCTCACTTTGATAGGGATGGTTAGGTGTCCCAGGGAACACAGCTGCAAGAGGCAAAGCTAGGATTCAGGATCACTTGGAGTCCTTCCTTTTACCTACTGCCTGTATGGTGACCTGTGAGCTCCTTAGGGGAGGGTCTGGGGTCATTTATGGAACTGTCCCAGCCAGGCTCAGCAGGCACCAGGCAGATCTGAACTGGATGAGTTGAGCTCCTTCTTAGAGCATGAACCTGCCAGTCTGTGGAAACAAGCCCAGGAGAGGGGATCCTGGAAGGTCAGGTCTGAGGTATCAGAAGCTAGGAGATACCTTGAGAGGCTGATCCTGGCTAGTGGCTTCTGTCCCTCTGACCCTTGGCTGCTCAGCCCTTTGTGTCTTCCTGCAGAGAGCTATCACTATCCTGGACACAGAAAAGAGCTTCCTGAAGTGCATGAGGAAGGCCTTCCGCTCCGGCAAGCTGCTGCAGGTGGGGTTTACTCCGGATGGCAAGGACGACTACAGGTGGTGTTTTAGGTAAGACCTAGGTAGGAATCAATGCTTGAGAACCTGGGGGGTGCAGTTATGGGCATGAAGGAACATGCTTGGAGTCAGCTGTGGGTATAGAGGGCCTCTTAGGGCCTGTCAGGAGAATAGGAGACTTTTTGTTTGTTTCTTTTTGGTGTAGTCCTGGGGCTAGAACTCAGAGCCTGGGTGCTGTCCCTGGTTTTTGCTTAAGGCTAGAGCTCTGCCACTTGAACCACAGCTCCACTTTTGGTGGTTAATTGGAGATAGGAGTCTTACAGACTTTCTTGCTTGGGCTGGCTTCAAACTGCTGTCCTTAAATCTAAGCCTCCTGAGTAACTAGGATTACAGGTGTGAGCCACCAACACCTAGCTATTTTAATTTAAAAAATCAATTTCCTAGCATTCTATTCTATTGTATTCTTTCATTTTTGTGCTAGTAGTGGTGCTGAACTCAGGACCTGGGTTCATTCCCTGAGCCTTTTCCACTCCAGACTTATACTTTAGCATTTGAGTCATAACTCCACTTCTGGCTTTTTTTGAGGGGGGGAGTGGGTGGGTAGCTAATTGGAGAACAGGGTCTCATAGGCTTTCCTGCCTGTGTTAGCTTTGAATCATGATACTCAGATCTCAGCCTCCTGTGTAGGTAGGGCTACAGGCCTGAGCTACTGGTACCCCATAAAACTATGAAACTCTTTAGGCAGCTGTAGCTTTGAGAGCCCCTTAGGGCTTAGCTCTGGGCAAAAAAAACCACTGTAGATTCTAGCACATGGTCAAATGTTCAATGATGGAAAGTTTTAAGTGTCTGACGGGACAATCTGGTGAGCAGGGTCAGGACTAGAAATCTACAATTAAAGTGTCTCATGATGAAACTGGGGAGAGAAAGTGTCCCCAAAGCAGGCTCCTGCCCCTTGGTAGCTGTTTCCATGCTGATGTATTGGGAGTGGTATCGGGAAGCTGGGCCAGCCTGGGCAACCAGCTCCCTGACTTCACCTGTCACCTGCAGGGTGGATGAGGTGAACTGGACCACCTGGAACACCAATGTGGGCATCATCAATGAGGACCCAGGCAACTGTGAGGGCGTCAAACGCACCCTGAGCTTCTCCTTGAGGTCAGGCAGAGGTGAGGCATGAGGGCCAGTGCTGGGCATGGAGGGGCCTCCTTGGCCAGTGGCATGGCGTTGGGCAGGTGGGTCCCCATACTCCGTGAAGGCCTGGGTTCTGAGGCAGCTTCAGATGCCTGCCAGCCACACATCCCTAGCTATGGTACTCTAGAATGTCCTTAAATACCACACACTGAGGGCTCCTGGGGTTTCTACAAGCCAGTTGTGCCCACATCCCTGGCCCTGGCATTGCCTCAGGGCTCCTGAGAGAGAAGCTTAGGCCACACCCCTGCTTTTGAGGGCTACCCCACGTATGCAATCAGTTATGTGGGGCTATGGGGACATAAGAGTTGTATGGGAACACTTCTTTTAAATGGCACAAGTGGACAGGTGGAAAGGATGGAAGGGGAGAAAAGGGTACATCTGAAGCAGAAAACTTTGGGGAAAATTACAACCAGAATGTTGCCTAACAGTTAATGATCAACCTTTCACAGTAAGCATTAAATGAAAGGTATGATGAGCATGGCAAGTGTAGTACATTTGGAGGCACAATTATAACCTGAACTATTGGAAATTTTTTAATGGTGTGTGTGTGTGTGTGTGTGTGTGTGTGTGTGTTATAACCTGAACCATTGGAAATTTTTTAATGGTGTGTGTGTGTGTGTGTGTGTGTGTGTGTGTGTATATACTGGTCCTGGAGCTTGAACTCAGGGCCTGGGAGCTGTCCCTAAGCATTTTTCCTCAGGGTTAGCGTTCTACCACTTGAGCCAAAACTCCACATCTAGCCTTTTGGTGGTTAATTGGAGATAAGAGTCTCATAGACTTTCCTGCCCAGGCTGGCTTGGAACCCTGATCCTCAGATTTCAGCCTCTTGAGCATGTAGGATTATTGATGTGAGCCACCTGTTCCCAGCTTGTTTTTTGTTTTTGCTTTTGTTTTTAAAATATGGGCTAGGATATAACTTGGTAGTAGATTGTTTGTCTAGCAAGATTGCTTGTAGTGGTTCTAGGCTTGATTCCTACTACAAAATCAAAATACTATTATCATCCACAGATACACTAAATATACATAAAATTTTACTGGATTAATTATATTAACATTGTTCAATCATAATCACTATCTATCTCTAGAAATTTTTTTGTCATCTTGAACAGAAATTTTATCATCACTAATCATTAAGTCCCCCGTTCTTCTTTTCCTCAGATACTAGTAACTTGTGTTCCATTCTCTCATGTGAATTTTCCCACTCGTAAGTTATATAGAGGAGTCCAATAATATTTGTTCTTTTATGCTGGTGGGATAATGTTATATTACATGCATTATAACAAATTTAATTAATCCATTTACCTGTTGATTGGTATTTGGATTGGTTCTGCTATTTTGGCTATTGTAAATTATTATAATGAGCATTGGTGTATATGATTCTCATCTGTGATTTGGGGTATGCACTGAGGAGTGGAATTGCTGGACTATATGGTAATTCTGTTTAACATTTTGAGGAATAGCCAAAATGTTTTCCAAAGTAGCTTCATTCCTTTATATTTTCACTAGTAATGCCTCAATGTCCTGATTTCTTCTCATTCTCCTCAACAATTGCCATGTTTTTCTTTTTCTTTTAAGTATAATCATCCTAACTTTGAAGTGGTATTTCATTGTAGTTTTGATTTGTATTTCCCTAGTGACAAATGATATTTAACATATTATCTTCTTAATTGCCTTTTGTAAATATTCTTTATTTAAGTTCTTTATGCATTAAAATATTAGCTTTTAATCTATTCTGGATATTAATCATTTATCACATATGTGATTTATAATATTTTTCCCTTACAGCAGGCTGATTGAGGGCCTTGCACTCGCCACTTTGGCTAGACATTCAGCCTTTCCTTTTGATTTAGTTATTTTTTTCCTTTTGATTTTAGTTATATTTTTGCCTGGGCTACACTCAGATTGTGATCCTTTTACCTGCGCTTCCAATGCAGCGGCACCAGCTGCACCACTGTACCCAGATGAGAAAGTTCTTTTTTTTTTGTGCCAGTCTTGGGGCTTGGACTCAGTGCCTGGGTGCTGTCCATAAGCTTGTTTTTGCTCAAGGCTAGTGCTCTACTACTTGAGCCACAGTTCCATTTCCAGCTTTTTGGTGGTAAATGGAGATGAGTCTCATGGACTTCCTGCTCCAGCAGGCTTTGAAGCACAATCTTTAGATCTCAGCCTCCTGAGCAGCCAGCATTACAGGTGTGAGCCACTGGTGCCTGGCTGAGAATATTGTTTACATTTTTATGAAGTCCATAAATTGGACTTTTTTCATTTCTTTCCCTATCTTTTGGTATCACATCCAAGAAATCATCGCCAAATTGAATGGTATGAAAATTTCTTCCTATCTTTTGGAAAGAGGTTTTGTTTTTAATTTTTTAATATATTTTTATTGTGAAAATAATGTACAGAGGGGTTACAATTACATGGGTAAGATAATGAGCACATTTCTTATCAGTCATTGTAGTCTCCTGTTTTGTTTCCCCTTCCTATCCCTTCGTATCCTTTCCCCTCCCCTCCCTCCCCCTCCACCAAAGTTGTAAAGTTTGTTTTTTGACATAACGACTTGTACATCTCATTGTTGCAATGGGTCCTCCTGTATCCCTGTTTTAACAATTTGTTTTGTCCCTTCCCCTCCACATATACCAACATCATATTTAGTGAAAGCAGGGGTTGTACCATGGGGGAGGGGCATACAAGGCAACGAAGACATAATCTTATAAATATGTTAGAAGCAATCACATGAAAGATCTCTCTCTCTTTTTGTCAGTTGTGGGACTTGAGCTCTAGGTCTGGGAGCTGTCCCTGAACAATTCAGCTCAAGGCTTATGCTCTACCACTTGAGCAATCACGTCACTTCTAGTTTTCTGGTGCTTTTTTTTATTGTGATTAAGTGATTATGTAATTTCCCAAATTTCACAGTATTGTGGAATAATGATGCTCATTTAAAGTCACAAGCTCATTCTAACTTTTCCTGGAGCAAATTGTCTATCACGGTCTATAACATATAACGGTGTACACATATACACCATACATGCAGCAGCATGGGGATATTTAGTAGTGGTTCGAGCAGATGAATGGAAGTTCTTTGTTTCTTAAGTCCTGTTAATTTTGTCGTATCACATAACATTTTGGATTTAACATCCACTTATCAGGGAGACCATGTACCGTTTGTCTCTTTGCTCTTGGCTCATCTCGCTCAACATGATTCCTTCTAGCTCCATCCATTTCCCTGCAAATGCCATTATTTTGTCATTTCTAATGGCTGCATAATATTCCATTGTGTATAGATCCCCCATTTTTGGATCCATTCATCTGTGGTGGGGCATCTGGGTTGTTTCCATATCCTAGCTATTGTGAACAGTGCTGCAATAAACATGGAAATGCATGTGTCCTTGTATATTGGTTCCTGTTGTTCAGGGTAGATGCCTAGAAGTGGTATGACTGGGTCATAAGGGAGGTCAATCTTTAGCTTTCTGAGGACCCTCCAGACTGCTTTCCAAAGTGGTTGTATAAGTGTACATTCCCACCAGCAGTGTAATAGGGTTCCTTTTTTTTTTAAAGTAGTTTTAGTTCCCTATCATTTAAAAGTTGTTTTCTTGATTTGGTGTTTGGTTACTATAGACCTTCAGACTGTTTCTAAAGTTACAGACGTGAGTTCTAAAATTGCTGTTTGGCTTTTTATTTTATTTTATTTTTTTATTGACACTGGAGATTATACTCAGGACCTTGAGCTTGCTAGGCATGTGTTCCACCACTTGTTAGATGAACTTGTCCTTAAAAGTGACTGAAGAGCCAGGCAACAGTGGCTCATGTAATCCTAGCTACTTAGGAGGCTGAGATCTGAGGGTCATGGTTCAAAGCCAGCCCAGGCAGGAAAATCCGTGAGATTCTTATCTCCAGTTAGCCACCAGAAAACAGGAAGTGGCACTGTGGCTCAAGTGGTAGAGTACTAGCCTTGAGCTGAAGAGCTGAGGGACAGTGCCCAGGCCCAGAGGTCAAACCCCAGGACTGATAAAAAAAAAAGTGACTGAAGAATAAATCAAGTCTTGCAGAAAGTGCATACTTTTTTAAACCAGTTTTCCTGATGCTATATCTTTCATATTTGATATTGTATCATAAATGGTTCATTTTATATATTTCATAAACTTAAAAATCAACTTTTTATTGGGATGTAACATACATATAAAGCAGAGTTATTTCATTATTTAATTTCACTTTGTTTCATTTCATTTCATTATTTTATTTTAGCGCTAGAGCCTCATTGACCCTGAACAACTGGGTTCAAGTGCTCCTCCTGCTTCAGTTTCTTGAATAATCGGGGCTGCCCCACATAAGAGACAGTTTTTATAAATTTTAGGTAACTACTGCACATGTGTGCATGCCCACGTGTGTGTGTGTGTGTGTGTGTGTGTGTGTGCTGGTACTGGGGTTTGAATTCAGGAGCTCTTTCTTAGCTTTTCCATCAAGGCTGTGCTCTACTAGTTGAGCTACACTTCAACTTCTGGCTTTTGCTGGTTGGTTAATTAGAGATAAAAGTCTCTAGGATTTGTCTTCCCAGACTGACTTTGAATTGGGATCCTTAGATATCAGCCTCCTGTGCAGCTAGGATTGTAGTTGTAAGCCACTGGTACCAGCTTCAATGTGATATTAATAACAACAGCTGTGTTTAATAGAGCAGGCATGGGGGATGGTGAGAGAGTTCCTGATTTCACACTTAAAATTTATTAAGAATTTATTAAGGATTATTCCTTGGTCACAGTAGAAAGCCCAGCAAAGCATAGCTAGATAAATTCAGGTAACAAGGACTTCTCCCCATCAATCAGTGTAAATGATAGAAAGAGGTGAAAGAATGTAGGAGGGAAAGGCTGGGGAAGAAAAGTGGTAAATAGAGGAGCTAGGGGAGCATGAGGAGGGAGTCTTGGAGCTATAATGAGTGGTTGGGAACTCGGGCCTCCTTTGAGGGCACTAGAACTAGGACTGAGCCAAATAATCTCTGATGCTGGGTGTCCCTACCACTCAGTCAGCCAGTAGGTAGTATCCAAGTACTCACCCAGCCTGTTGTCTCATGGGTCCTTCTGTCTCTATGCTCAGCATTCTGAGCATAGAGATTTTTTTGTAGCAATTAGGACTTGGTTCCAGCATGGGGGAGGGAACTGGCCAGCACCTCATTGGCCAGCAGCTCATTGATGTGTGTTGTGCTGGACTAGTTACAATCACAATGCCCACTGCAGATGCCTTTGTGATGTGGTAGGTGTTGGATGCCAGCAGAAGGGCCTGGATCATAACACAAGGATGGGAGATGTGAGTTTAGGCGGGTTTTCCAGACAGATCATATAAAATGTGGCCATCCAAGGAGCTGGCTAACCAAACAAATGAAAGGACAACACCCTATCTTTGCCCTTTGGCTGTCATTTTCTGCGTTGGCCAGATGGTGGCTCTGAGGTGGTTATGGGAGTAACAACTTGGCCATCTTTAGGAGCTCCCTGAGACTTCTGGCTACATTTGAGCTTTCCTTGGCATTGTTCTCAATCTACAGTGCCCTGTTAGACTGTACCCCAAATCCTGGTTCTTTGGAACTCATCACTCTAGAGCTCATCTAGTATGGAGCCACTCATGGGAAAGATCTCAGTGTCATGCTGAAGAAACCTGTCTCTCATTTGGGCAGTGATGAAAGAAGCAAGTGAATAGTGTTTCATGAGGTCATAAGCATGCCAGGGTGGGTGAGAGAAGTTAGGATCTGACCCAAGTGGATGAGGCTCCCCAAGCACCTTCAGGAAGAGGAACGTACATCCTCAGGCCTCTGTTTATCTAGAGATTTTTTTTTATTGTGAAAATACCATATAGAGGGGTTACAATTACATGGGCAAGATGAGTACATTTCTTATCAAGCATTGTTGCCTCCTCCTTTGTTTTCCCTTCCCATCCCTTCCCTTCTTTCACCTCCCTACCCCCCATCTAGAGATTTGTGAGGTTAATAAGTAAGCCTTGTTTTATTGTATCCAAAGTAGTAATGACAGTTACTTGGCCCTTCAGTTTCAGGGAGAAACTGGAAGAACTTTGCCCTGGTTCCTCTTTTGAGAGATGTGAACACTCGAGAAAGGCACCCTGCACAGCCTGAGGAAGTTCATCTGAAGCATTTTACAGGGTCCCTTAAACCAGAGGATGCTGAGGTCTCCAAGGATTCTGTGGCTCCAGGGGAGAAGTGAGGGATGCCATGCAGAGTGCCCCCGAGGCTGGGCCTTTGAGTGCCACACTGCCATTGTGAGCTGCTGAGGGAACACCAGTGCCCTGTGTGTAGCCTGCCAGCCTGCCTGGGCCTGTGCCCGATACTGCGTTGACTGGGGTCGAGTCCATGGGAAGATTCCAGCCACCCGTCTCCAGGTGAATATCTTCAAACAAGAAATGACCTGCCTTTCAACTTTTTACTGACTGCAACACATGTTTGGTTTTTATATTACTGGAGTACAAGTATATGAAGCTTATGAAAACACTTCTCAGAACAAAACATTTCCTTTGATGTCAAAACCATTTGTATTTGTATTGTGCCCAATGTCTTACCTGCCTTGAATGGTTTATCATTTGCTCCCAGAGAAGGTGGGGAAGACTGGTCTCACTCCAAGCTCTGGAAGAATCAAGTTTTCCCAAGAGTGATTTTGGTGTGAAATAGGAAAGTCCCCCAGATATTAGCTCTATTGCTATTTAGATAAAAGTTCAGAACTGTATCTAAGTGATATGGTAAAAATTTTATCAATGAACTTCAATTGGTAGTAACTAGAAATAACCCTGTTCCCCTTCAGGACTAAACTCTTTCACCCTCATCTAGTTTGTCATCCTTAAAAATAAATAAAAGTATGTATATATACACACATGTACATTACAGGTGTGAACTGTGTGTGTGTGTGTGTGTGTGTGTGTGCATGCTCACAGTACCATGTACTTCCAATTACTAGGAACCTCAGGTCACCCTAGTTGTGCCATTGGTGACAGTCTTCCCTTGCCCTGGCCCATATCCAATCTACTCCTGTTTTTATGAATAAACCCTCACTGAAACCTTGCCTCACACAGTCATTTATTATTGTCTTTGGCTTTCACGATACAATGCTGAGTTGCATAATTGTACCAGCGACCAAATAGCTCACAAAGCCTAAAGTATCTACGATCTAGCCCTTTATAGAAAAGTTCAATGACCCTTATTTCTGTAAGGTCTGCTCCTGGATGCAAGCAGACTCCACCCTCCTCACAGCAAAGTCTCCACCCAGTACCTTCGTTACCTAGGCAACTGGCATACCTGCAAGAAGTCCCATCTGCCTCCGCTGAGGTCACATCTGAATTTGATGTGGCCACACCTTTCTCCGCCCATACCCTAGATAAGGCCTCACCCAGGCCCAGATGCTCTCTTTCCCAGCTCTCTTTCCCAGGTCTCTCCCAGGCCTTCCCCAGCATGTCTAATGAATAAACCTACCCCTTAACTGAATACCACGTGCGTGGTGCTGTTCTTACTCGGCTACCTCTTCTTTAAAAACCTAACAGTTTGGGGGTGGGAAGGTGGCTCAGTGGTAGAGTGCTTGCCTTGCATGCCTGAGGCCCTGGGTTCGATTCCTCAGTACCACATAAGCAAAAAGAAAAAAGCCGGAAGTGGTGCTGTGGCTCAAGTAGTAGAGCACTAGCCTTGAGCTGCAGAGCTGAGAGACAGCGCCCAGGCCCAGAGTTCAGGCCCCACGACTGGACCCAAAAACAAAACAAAAAACCTAACAATTTCCTTTATGGAATAGAACTTATTCTAGGAGAGAGATCTGTCCCAGACATGGATGAGCTATGTTAGTATCTGTGGATTGTTGAGTCACGAAATCATGGGACATTGGCTTATGAAAGGATGAATACTTCAAGCAGAGGCCAGGGCTTTGGCCCTACCATAAAAGGAAAATCTGGTGGTGATGCATGAACTCCGTGTTCTCCATTATGTCTGTTTCACATATGGGATCTAAGGAGGAGCCAGAGGGCTGACTGAAGTGAAGCATGCCTAGGCCCCAGGGAAGGTGAGTGTGGAGATGAATGAGAGAGTTTATGAAAGTGCTTGATGTGCATTATCCTTTAAATAACAGCTTGTGAAGAAGCTATTCTTAGCTGCATTTATAGATAAAAAATTATGGCTCTAGCAGCTGGCAAGGTTATCCAGCCAGCAAAGCATTGGGCTTGGATTTGATCCCAGGCTATATGGCTCTAAAGCCTGTCTTCACTGATGAGTCATGCTGCCTGGGGCACCTGGCCTATCCCTGAGTCTGGAGAGAGAAGCCTTGCTGTTGAGGCCTGCCACTCCCTGGTGTATCTGTAGGCTTGTCTTGAAAATATTGAATGGACATCAATTATCTGCAAATTTCTGCAAATTGGATCAGCTTTCAAACTTACTCAGAGCTGGAAAGAAATTCATGTGTGTTCCTTTAATCAAAACTTTTTGTGTAAATCTAGAGTTGTTAAAGAAAGGACATATTTGCAGAGATTCTCTTTCTTCTCTGTTAAAATTAGTAAATGGGGGGCAGGCAGTGGCTCTCACTTGTTATCCTATCTACTCAGGAGGCTGTGAGCTGAGGATTCTGGTTTGAAGCTGGCTTGGGCAGGATAATCCATGAGACTCTCATCTCCAGTTAACCACCAAAAGGCCAGAAGTGGCTGTAGTGGTAGACAGCTAGCCTTGAGAAAAAAAGCTCAGAGACAGTGCTCAGGCCTTGACTTCAAGCCCCAGGATCAGCACAAAAGAAAAAAAAAGGATAAATGATTTTTAGGGTGGTTTTAAGTTTACAGTGAAATCAAGCAGAAGTTTGATACCTCATATGTTTCCTGTTTCCTCTGTTATTGACATCCTGTCTCATAGTGGTACATTTGGTACAATTGAGGAGTCTAAGGGCTTCACTTCTTTTTTCTCTGTCCTTTAAAAGAACAAAAAGGCAGGGCATTGGGTGAATTAAGTTTCTTTGAATGTGAAAGAAAAACCATAAAAGAAAGCAGAAAAGAAAAAGAAGGAAGAAAAGAATTGGCAGACTCCCTGAGTGGGAAGGGCATTTCCCAGTCACTCTGTGAGGAAAAATCTGAGGCTTCTTTGTCTGGCCTGCTAGATCTTTGGTCCCTATACCTGCCTCTCTCCGGAGATGTACCTTGATTTGATTTGTTGAGTGATGGTTGCTCACTGCTGAAGGCCTTTCCAGTTGGATGGAAGTTCCTGTCTGGTTAGACCCCTCCCTTCCTGGGTGAATGTGGGAGAGCTTGCCTTCACTTGTGCACACATCTAAGTACACATGCAATTGGAACATGCTTCCTAGGGAAGAAACAAGAACAGTGATTTATGTTCTTCCTTTGTTTCCCATGGCATGTCTTTGTTCCAGTCACTTTCTATCTCTTAACTGTTTAACTGGGGTCAAACACCTGTCCCTCAAGTCTTGATTAACATGCTATTATGATCCAGAGTCCACTGGGGTCCCTCTGGGTCGTCTAATTCTATGGATTTTGGCAGATGTATGTTTATCAATCACTACAGTATCATTTAAAATCGTTTTGCTGCCTTGAAATCCTTTGTGCTCCACTGTCATCCTTCCCTCCTCATCTTCCACCAACCTCTGAAAACCACTAATCTGTTTATCGTCTTTATAGTTGTCCTAGTTGTACTGTCTCTAGAATGCTGTGTAGTTGAAATTATACAGTAGCCTTTTCAGATTGAATTACTTCACTTAAATTTCTTTCTTGTCTTTTCTTGTAGTGTGTGTGTGTGTGTGTGCCTGTGTGTGTGCCTGTGTTTGTGTGTATGTTATTAGATTGAACTCAAGGCCTCTCCCTCTTGCTCAGCTTTCTTGCTCAACTGGCACACTACTACTTGAGCCATGACTCCAGTCCTCATGTCTTGATAACCCATTCCTTTTTGGCATTGGATAAAATTCCTATATCTGGATATATCATGATTTATCTACCCAACTACTACAGGACATCTCAGCAGTTCCAAGTTGAGGTACTTCATAGTAAAGCTGCCATATGCAGCATGTGCAGTTTTTTTGTGTGAGGATATGTTTTTGACACCTGTGAATAAGTACCAAGGAACACACCTGCTAGGTCATACTAAGTAAGAGTATGTTAAAAAACCACCAACTTTTTTTTTTTTTTTTTGGATCCGGTCATGGGGGCTGAACTCTGGGCCTGGGCGCTGTCCCTCAGCTCTTCAGCTCAAGGCTAGCACTTTACCACTTGAGCCACAGCGCCACTTCCGGTTTTTTCTGCTTATGTGGTGCTGAGGAATTAAACCCAGGGCCTCAAGCATGCGAGGCAAGCACTTTACCACTAAGCCAACTTCCCAGCCCCCACTAACTTTTTTTTTTGTAAAAAACCACCAACTTTTCTTATGAAGTGGCTGAACAAGTTTGCATCCTACTAGCAATGAATGAGGATTCTTGTTCCATATCTTCACTAGCCTTTGATGCCAGCATTTTGGACTCGGTCCTTTCTAATGAGTGAAGTAGTCTGTCTCTTATACTTTCATTGGAACTTGACTAATGTGTCGTATGAATTTACATTTCATATATTGTATTCTTTTCAGGTCATATTCCCTTTCATTTTTCTATATTTTCTCTTTTAAAACATTTTATTAACATATATTAATTGCATGGAGGAATTTATTGTGATATTTCCATTATACCTATAATATACTTAAATTTACTAATCCTCTCATAAACAAAACAAAATCTTTGTTTTATAAGATGTTGATTTATGTGTTTATATGTGCTCTAAAATTGTTATTTATTTATTTTGGGTCCAGTAGTGGGCCTGAACTCTGGGCCTGGGCGCTGTCCCTCAGCATTTCAGCTCAAGGCTAGCACTCTACCACTTGAGCCACAGTGCCACTTCCGGCTTTTTTCTTTTTGCTTATGTGGTGCTGAGGAATAGAACCCAGGGCCTCAGGCATGCAAGGCAAGCACTCTACCACTGAGCCACCTTCCCAGCCCTAAAATTGTTATTTTTCATTGGCAAGTTTGGATTCAGTGGATATACTTAGGTACAACATTATATTTTGATACACATATGCAATCATGGAATGGCCGAGTTAAACTACAGAACCCATACATCACCTCATTACTTACCATATTTTTGTGGTAATAACATTAGTATCTACTGTCTTAGCAGTTTTCAAGTCTGTTGCTGTCTTTCCTTTCTGGGAAACATCCAAGGCACACCCACAATTCCCAGCAGGGAAGTTGTTTGGCTAGTTAGGAACTGCTCTTCTAGCTCAGGACCAGTGGTGTCCTGCCATGGTGTAGACAAACAAGCAAACTTTCTCCTGACCACATCATTATCACTTGTCCAGGCCTGAGGTAGGGAATGGAATTGTGATTCTTCTTCATGGGTAAACAGTGTTCTTTGGTATGTGGAGGGATCAGTTGCCTGCCCCACTCCTAAAGATACCATCTTTCCTGCCTGTTCCCGGGAAGGGGGACTCTGGGTTTATTGCTTGGGCCTGGTGTCAGCTGGTCTTTGGATGTAGGGGACAGGTTCTGGTGCAGGCCCAGATTGGTCCTCTAGGGACATTTGCCAGGCAGGAGGATAGCTTCTGCACTTAGATACTGCTGACTAGGTAGGGCTTTTGCTCCCCACCTGGGGGTGGGGAGGAAGAAGGATGGGGATTGGGCATCCTGGCAGATGTCTAGAGCCTCTGTGTAGCCCATCTATTTATTAAAAGGGAATCAATCCTTGAGGAAAGGAGAACCCAATGTGGCCCTTAGCTGATACCAGGACCAGATCCTGGTAGTGAAAGGTAGTCATTAATTCTTCTTGGCTCTGAGGCATTGGGATCATGGCGATGAGCCCTAATGGACACCCATGTGGTAGTTAAGATGAG